TCAGCATGGGGGTGAGTAGAAAATGAAGGCTAATCATGTTTTGGGTGTACTATTCCTTTAACCTAGAGCTCAGATTATTGGAAACACAGATTAGGATTTTAGCTTAGAGCGCAGGATTTCCACAACCAATGCTCAAGTTACCATGGTTACTGATATAGCTTTTATCCATGCAGCTTTTCCCCGCCGTACGTAATGCTGCGGTGGGCTGTAGGGGGCAGTGTGGGGCACAGAGTGACAGATAGCACCGTACTACAGTCAGAAGTAGAAAACAGCTGAGCTGCTGATTCCAGTCTGTGTTTGAATAGTGAGCAATAAATCTGATTGATTAGGCCTGAGTGTGTGAGAACCAGCGATGTTTTCCTCAAATAATTTTATTGATGCTCCTTTTTTAAATGACATAACGAGAACTGACGAGCTAAAAGTTGATCTTTGATGACATGACGAGTCATAGATTTGAGTTTTTGTCAACGAGACTAAATAAAAACGTTAGCAGGTGGTCTACAGACGTTAAAAATGCATCATTATTCTGTAAATCAGCTAAGCAGTATCAGCCGTGCTGCTGCATCCTGTTTGGTCACGCCGCCCACCTGCTGTGCAGGGCTATACATGCTGCATGACCTCAGATGGATCATGGCATCAGTGGGGATGAAAATAATCCAGAATGATCCGTTGCTGCGGGCTGAACTCTGACTAACTATGATCTTCCAGCTGTGCAGAAATGTGTCTTTGCGCAGCTTGGCTCAGAGTCTGCTCTTTACGCTCCACTCTGATGGTTCGCTCTCAGCAGTACGGCTCTTCCTGCTCTCGCTACTTAATAAACTATATGTGGCTGATCATTCTCTGCCAAGCCTATAAAAATCTCTTTGCCCAACTATCAAGGTTTATTCCTTCCAGCTCACAAGAGGTGATAATAAACATTCTTTGATTTCTACCAACAGGAATCCCTAAATTATATCCAAATAAAATATTTCATTGCTTTCTGTTTTGTTTTGTTTTTGGATAAAGATCCAGATGGAAAGGTACACAGATCTATGAATATTTCTCTCTCATTGTATTTTGTTTAAATCAAACTCTGTGAATTTAAATCTACTTTGACCCCTGAGCAGCAGGAACCGAGGGGGAAATTCTCAGAAATAAAGTAAAAATTAAAAAGTAGAAAGAAGAATGTTTGTGTTCTTTGCTTTTTTGCAGTAATGCAGATTTTATAGATTTGTGTTTAATGCAGAATTCATAGCAGATCAGGAAGTATTTGCTTTGGAATGGAAACCTTGGATGTCTAAAATGATCCCTTCATTGGACATTTTGTCTGTCTGCTATATTAACCAATATGATGCGTTGAACTAGATCTGCTATTTTTACAGCTTCTGTGAGACACTTTTTTATAAAGTAGGGCATTAATTCATAAAAAAGTTTAAATGAATTTGATAACTCAAAGTTTTCTGTCTGACAGCAATGATGATCTGCACAGCAGCATTCTATACCCAGCTATTGTAGCATCTAGGATAGAGCTGTCAGTCTGGGAAAGAATCTGGTTGTTATTCCAAATTGTAAAGGTTTACTTTTTTTGCAACATAAAAGTGACTAAAACCTTTTTAGGTTTTAGTTGACTAAAACCAACTAAAACTATCACATGTCGTAATGACTAAAATGAGACTAAAACTAATAATAGTTTTCACCCTAAAGACTAAGACTAAATCTAAGATGGCTGCTAGAACCAGCAGTGGTGAGACCATCTCTGGATTGAAGCCATGGGGGACTGTTTACCGAGAGGATGGCCAGCGGTAGGAGGAAGCCGATGGTGAAGCGGTAGTAATTGACCGGATGTTCCCAGGATCTCATTGGGTAATGCTCGAAGCATACAGACCGGTTGCTCCGATCCCTGGTCACCTCCTTATGGTGAAAGAAAACCACACCCACTGCGATCTCTTTTATCCAGATGATGATGCTGACCATCCATGCAGCCTTCATGGAGCGAAGGGATGTAAACCTGAGAGGGGGGTCATGGTTAGCAGAGTTCCTTCTGTACGACTGGAAGCTCCTCTAGTCTGAGGTTCTCCCTCCAAACCCACCTGAGCGGATGAACTACAGCCAGGTAGCGGTCCAGGCTGATGCAGCACAGGAAGCCGATGCTGATGTAAATGTTTTCATAGAGCAGGAAACCACACAGCTGACACAACCACTCTCTGTGGCGCCAGTCGTCATCCTGAGAACAGGAAGCGGTTATCAAGAAGAAAGATCATCAGTGAAAGTTCATTAGAACTTAACAACCATTTACCTGAAATATGTACTGCAGCCAGAGCGGCAGAGAAGCCTGGTAGAGCAGGTCCGACACGGTGAGGTTCATCAGGTAGACCCCGAGCTCGTTCCTCTGCTTCAGCTGCAGAGCAGCGTGGTACAGGGCGTACAGGTTGGAGGGAACGCCAACCTCAAATCAACAGAATAATCTAGATTATCGGTTTGGAGTGTAATGACCTCCCAGTGGTTACAGTGCTCTTTGACAGAGAAGAACCGCTTCCTGTTAAAGGAATAGTACACCCAAAACATGATTAGCCTTCATTTTCTACTCACCCCCATGCTGAACAACACTCTGGAGTACTTTTTTGATATCTCAAATGCATCTGGAGATCTGGAAGCCGGCAGACCAAACCAGCGCATTCAGCTCGGCAAAGAAC